TGTTTATAAGAAATCTTAGCTCTAACTTGAGCATGACATCAGCAACTTTCAATAAGTTTTTCTTTTTTTATAAGTGCAAACTTTTTTTATAAACACTATAAATAAGAAAATAAAGAATAATTAATAGAAGTAAGTAAATGAATAATTATAATAATAATAATAATAAATGAAATAATCAAACTCAAAGAAATCAAAATAAGAAGAAATAAGAAATTTGTTTAACAATTTGTCATCTATGCAACTTGATGATTTAGATTATATTATGTGTAAAAAAAACTATTTGCAGAAAGTTGTTATGAATGGTACACTATTGGCATATCCAACAGTTATATATTATGGCAGAGTAATAAAAGTAAATTAAAAAAGTCATAATTTATATTCTTTGTTACTTTTATAATGTTTATATAATGACATATTATACTATATACATTATATAAACAGAATGTGTTTTATTTATTTATTTTAGTATTTAAGTCATATTTTTTAATTTTGTGTTTCTATATTGTATAAAAAAATATAATTATTATATTTTTTTATACAATATAGAAACACAAAATTAAAAAGACTCATTTTTCAAAACAATCGGCATCGGCCTGGATAATCATAGACTGATGCCGATTGTTTTGAATAATGAGTCTTTTTAATTTTGTGTTTCTATATTGTATAAAAAAATATAATTATTATATTTTTATATACAATATAAAAACAAAAAAATTTTAAAATCTGATTTTTTAAAACTATCGACACCAGCCGATAGTTATCATGGCCAATGCATCAGTGCACCCCTAATATATATACATATATATATATATATATATATATATATATATATATATATATATATATATATATATATATATATATATATATATATATATATATATATATATATATATATATATATATATATATATTAAAATTTATAAAAATCTGTAAATGTTTATAATTTTGTTATACAAAAATAAATAAAAATAAAAACATTCGAGCGGTTTTGTAATGAATATATTAGAGAATTGTTGTTCTAGATATTATACTTTTTGCATTAATTTAAATTTTTTGAACTAAAAAGATAGGTTCAAAGAAAAACTCCCCCCAGGTAAAAATCCCCCCAAGAAAAAATGCTTTTGGTTGCAAATTAAAAAAATATATATCAGAGATTTTTGTTTGTTAAGTATTTATCTAAAGCTAAATAAGTTGCAACATTAACAAGATAGAATCAGGAATTGCAACTTTCATATTTTGCATATTAAAGTTTTATGGTTTAATTAATGTACATAAAGTTATTTTTTTGATGATGAACTACCGGAGTACATTCTTACAAGTTTACAAGTTAAGTTACAAATTAAGTTACTTTAAAATCCCGTTCTTAAATAAATTGAATGATCTTTAAAAAGTTTAAAATTATGGGTACGCTTTCATAATTTTATAAACCCACAAGGGAAAATGTTTTTAAAACCTATAATTTAAGATTAGCGTTCCTGATAATAATAATCGTTACAAACTTGCGTTTACATGCGGCGACTTAGAAGTATAATATAGTATATTATAGTAGTATATTTAGTGATGTGTATATATTTAGTGATGATGAAAATCGAATTTTAAACACCCGCCTAACCGGCGCGGAGTTAAAAGAAGCCCTTTTTAAATTTGAAAACGGAAAATCTCCGGGCTATCACGGACTTCCAGCTGAATTTTACAAAACCTTTTGGCACGTTGTAGAAAAAGATTTTGAAGAAATTGCATACGAAATTCTTTTTGTAGGAAAAAACACCAGCCACTTTATGAGAGAATCAATATTTTCACTGATCATTATATTTTAATAAAAAACATTTTATCATTATTTTAACTAATTATATTCTTATAAATAATATCTTATAACTATTTTTGAAAAAATTTCTATTTATTAAGTTAAATTATATCTTATAAATAAACATATTTGGTGAAATTAATAGATGTCATCCCAGACAGCAAGCTTACATTGGCCCAACGTAATTTTTAACATTGGCAAGTTTATTCCGTTGGGCCAACATTTAGCCAATGTTTTTTTTCGACGTATTATTTTCAATTCTGCAAATCGGTTTTTTGCAAATATCGTACTATATTGGGCCAACATTTAGCCAATGTTTTTTCTTCGGCGTAATATTGTAATTCTACAAATCGGTTTTTTGTAATTATCGTACTACGTTGGGCCAACATTTGGCCAATGTAGTTTAGGCTTAATATTTTGCTATAAAAATCTGTTTTTACATTTAAGCCGTGGCCAATATTCGGCCAATGTAGTTGCGGATTAGTAAATATTTATAAAACATTTTTAAAAATGGTATCGTTTGACAGAATAAAAAAAGGTTTTGATATTATCTTTCTATTTTTTTAAATTATATATAAAAAAAAAAGAAGCTATATTTATGAATCTTCTAAGAATCTTAAAAGGTTCGTTATATGAAATAAATTTCAAGAGATTCTCGTGACTTAATGTTGTTTTTTTTTTAATAATGAAATATTTGTTAACAGTTAAATAATATACTTGAAACATTACAATGTAAATTATTAATGTAATAATAAAGGTAATAATTAAATTATTTTTGTGTAAGATCTTAAAGTTATTTTTTATACTTATTGCTGTATTAGCATTTCAAATGTTTGATTTATTTAATAATCTTTATTAAATAAATGTAACATTTCAAATGTTCGATTTATTTAATAAAGAAGACATTTTGTATTCTTCTTTATTAAATATTATCAAACATTTGAAATGTCATACAGTATAAGTATTGAAAAAAAAAATTTTTTCATAATTTAATAATAATAGTTTAGATTATATAGCTATTATAAGATATATTATTAAAGGTATCAGTAATATATATGTGGCATTGAAGTTGTTAGAAGCTGTTTTTTTACATTATTAGTATGTCTTTTTTGTTTGATTGTGAAACCCCATCTACTAAAATATTAAAACAGTGTACAAAAAGTGATGATATTAGAATTTATATTCTACTTATATCGAGCTTTCTAAAATTGCCAGACATTTTGTTTTAAGACCAATGACTAGTCTATAATAATTTATATAATTATGAGATTAAATCAATAAATAATCATTAAAATCAATTGAAATAAAAAGACTCAATTTAAATCATTATTTTTATTTGTCTGATTTAAATCATGATTTAAATTAAAACAACCCTTTATATATTCCATCTTTCTGAGGCAGAGGGACATTATTCTTGGTTTTATAATTTTTAATTTAATATCTCTGGATATTTTTCATAATTAGTTTGCATACAGCAGTTAACAACTTTAAGCTTATACATTAACTTTCGTTATAACTTAATTATTAATAATTTGATTTATAGATTTTTATAGCAATACAAGATTGAATTTAGCAGAAGGCTAAACTTCTGCTCTGGAGACAAAAAAGGAAGATAGCGAAAATAACCAGACAAAATAAAGATTAAAGAGACAAAAAATTGTGTATATCTTGGTGTAGATGATTTATCCTCAATCTCTTATAATAAAACTAAAAATATTATTAAACTTTAGGATTTACCTGTAACTACAAACTCTTTACAGAAGTTCAATGTTTGCTCTGAGAAGTTAAATGAACAAAATTTATTAAATGGTAAGTTTTTATATAAAATTCTTTATGTCTGATGATTGAAAATCTTTATTCGTAGCTTTAACTTTTACAATTTTAAAGACTTTTTCATATATTACGGTAAAAAAGTCAGAGTGCAATTAACATTTTATTTTATAATAATCAACATATCAAAGCTTACACCACTGGCTTGGTCAGAAAGCGAGAGCGATCGTTCTTGGATACTGACCACCAAAATTATATTTAGTTGCGAAGAACTGGCCAGGTTTTTTAGTCGTTTTGAGAACATTTAAGTTTATGAACGTAACAAAATTTTTTTGTTGGATTTCAAAGTCACCAACTTTGAAATCCATTTGAAATCAACTGTTGAAAAAAACAACAGACTATTCATATCAGTTTAAAGTTTTAACAGTTGCTGGTGGTTCATTGTTATTTATTATATAAACGTTTATTTAAATTTATCTTATAGACAAAGGTAATACGATATTTTTATAGATGATATTATTTTTTTAAATTGTATTATTAAAGTTCAGAACTAAAATATGTAAAAAAAAAATTATATTCAAACATTGGACGAGGAAAATTGTCATTGGACAAGGTAAACATTGGACAAGGAAAATACTGTACCTGGAAAATCTGGAAAATGTGTTAATATTGGCCAAAGTGGTGGAAAACCTGGAAAAGTCAGGGAATTATTTTTTTTTTTAGATAGTCATGGAAAAGTCAGTATTTCTAGTTAAGAAGTTACTCATTTTGCAATTGAACGCTGTATTTTGAAAACCTGAAGAGTCACACTTTTTAAAATTGAGGTTATTTGAAAAGAATATTTTTTTTAGTAAAAGATAAAATCATAAGATAAAAAAAAAGATTTTTTAGATAAAATAAAGATTTTTTTTTGATAAAAATAAAATTTTAAGTTAAAAAACAAAAAATTTTTTTTAGGAAAAATGTTTTTTACTCTCCTGTAAAATTTTAATTTTGTGACTTGTCACATTTTCAAAATACAGCCCTCAATTAAGCTATTATGTTTTTTTTTGTTGCTACTAATTTATTTTTTCTGAAACATGTTTTTCTTAGTGTTCATTCTTAATCATCCTTAATAAGAAGAACCATACTAGCATGTATAATAAGATCTATACTAATATCTCAAACATTAATAAGAATTGTTTTGTGTCAGTCCCAGAAATTGAATGCACACCTGCAAATTTCATAATTCATAAAAATATTATGAATCCATTAGCAAGTATATATTTTGATCATTAAAAGTTTGGCCCTCTGTCTTTAATTTTATCTGTTTTATTAGTGATTGTTGTATTTACTTTCATAAATTCTAAATATAATATATAATTAGTTGTATAGTTTTTTAATAATATAATTAACTTTATTGTTTCAAGATAAAGTTGTATCCTTGAAAGATATGCTGGTATTATTGGCACAATGGGCAAGCATTGAAGTGCAACTTGGTGAACTACAAAATACATCAAATTCAGTTATAAAAATTTGAGTATTAAAGGTATGCTAATTATTGTATTGCCTGAAAGAGTGTCATTGCCATTAAAAGCAGCTTAGAATTCAAGTACTCTGGAAGAAAAAAGACAAGAAAACACTTCAGTAAATGGTAAATATTTTTTTATGATCTGTTTATGCATTTAGTATGATATGTAGTACAATTTATATACTTTAAATAAAATACTCTTTGAAGATTTTTTGTAAATGACATTTTATATTAATTTAAGTCTAAACTAAAGTTACTTTAATTACTGCCAGGCTGTGTATTTTTGCAAGTTAATTATTTGGCACAAATTGAAGTTAAAGACGAAGGAGATTGTATTAGTTATTTACTAAGAATAGTTTATTAAAATGGCCTAGCTGTAAAATTAAATTATGCAGGGAGAGGATAAAAAATTGGAATAGAAAAAATGTTGATTGCATATGCTGCTATTGGTAAGTGGTTTAGAAAAGTTTATTTTTTCAGTTTCAATTTTGTATTACAGAATTACTTTCAATTTGTTATGTTTCTTTGGTGCATAATTAAACAAACAACTATTTTTTTTTGCAGAAACTGTGAAGTCAATTAAGCATGGCTTATGCGGACATGTGATAGAGATAGCAGAAGAAAAAATAATAATCGTTGGCACCAAATATCATAAGCTAAACACGATTCAATAACAAGTAGCTCAGTCAATATCGAAACTACTCTATAAATTTTACAGTGAATTTTTTTATTTAAAACTCAATGTGTCAGTTTTTGGTATAAGTTTGGTGTTTGCAATATGTATATTTAACCGAGAAATTATGTTTAATAAATAAATTTTTATACTTGTATAATACATTCTTTTTTTTCTCTATAATTTTTCAATGTAGCGATGCAAATCATCTTATTTGTAACAACGATCTAATGTTGCATAAAACGTTAGGCCAATATAAAAATAGTAATCGTATAACAAACGATATTGGGCCAGTTTTGTATACAAAGTTGGGCCAATGTTGTTTACAATATGGACCTAACGTTATATACAACGTTGTGCCAATGTTGGGTAAACGTTGTATACAACATTGGGCCAATGTTGTACACAACATTGGGCCAATACCTAACCAATGATCAAACCTGCATTGGGCCACCATCGACTTTCAACGTTGGGCCAATGCATCACCATGCATTGGCCCAACATTGGTCCAATGTAAGCTTGCTGTCTGGGATATTATATTTATTTAAATATAAATTTAACATTACATAACGCTTCGAAAAAATATTCAATATTTAGTCATATTTATTTAATCAGTTTATATTTATATGTGGTCCACAACATAAATAAATAATAACACATTTGCCTATATATATTTATTTAACTTAGTTGATTGTAAATTATTTGAAATCTATTATTTTGGTATAGTATATTACAATTTTACCTGATATGAGCCACTTTCATAATTTCATTGAACTTAAGATTTCATAAAACATCGTATCTCGAAATACACTGCAATTACAATCTAAAAAATTTTAAAAATGTTAATTAATATTAAAATATTATTTTTCAATATATACAGCCAGATAAAAATATATAGAACACTGAAGATTTTTTATTTTTTAAATTTATATATATATATATATATATATATATATATATATATATATATATATATATATATATATATATATATATATATATATATATATATACATATATATATATATATAATCTTATTCTAAATATTGCCCTAAATATTTAATCTGTAACAATTATAATGTTGAGTGTATATAAAATGGATTATATTATCAAAAAGGACAATATATATATATATATATATATATATATATATATATATATAAAGACTCATCAGAAAATTTCTGATGAATACTCTATTTTGTAGAATACATTTTTAAAATTGTTTAAATATATATATATATATATATATATATATATATATATATATATATATATATATATATATATATATATATATATATATATATATATATATTTAAACAACTTTAAAAATGTATTCTACAAAATAGAGTATTCATCAGAAATTTTCTGATGAGTCTTTATATATATATATATATATATATATATATATATATATATATATATATATATATATATATATATATATATATATATATATATATATATATATATATATATATATATATATATATATATATATAAAGACTCATCAGAAAATTTCTGATGAATACTCTATTTTGTAGAATACATTTTTAAAGTTGTTTAAATATATATATATATATATATATATATATATATATATATATATATATATATATATATATATATATATATATATATATTCTTATGACATAAGATACTATTTTATTAGAAGATATATGTTTAACATTTCACTTCAGTGTTCTATATATTTTTATCTGGCTGTATATATTTTTCAATATATACAGCCAGATAAAAATATATAGAACACTGAAGATTTTTTATTTTTTAAATTTATATATATATATATATATATATATATATATATATATATATATATATATATATATATATATACATATATATATATATATATAATCTTATTCTAAATATTGCCCTAAATATTTAATCTGTAACAATTATAATGTTGAGTGTATATAAAATGGATTATATTATCAAAAAGGACATATATATATATATATATATATATATATATATAAAGACTCATCAGAAAATTTCTGATGAATACTCTATTTTGTAGAATACATTTTTAAAATTGTTTAAATATATATATATATATATATATATATATATATATATATATATATATATATATATATATATATATATATATATATATATATATATATATATATATATATATATATATATATATATATTTAAACAACTTTAAAAATGTATTCTACAAAATAGAGTATTCATCAGAAATTTTCTGATGAGTCTTTATATATATATATATATATATATATATATATATATATATATATATATATATATATATATATATATATATATATATATATATATATATATATATATATATATATATATATATATAAAGACTCATCAGAAAATTTCTGATGAATACTCTATTTTGTAGAATACATTTTTAAAGTTGTTTAAATATATATATATATATATATATATATATATATATATATATATATATATATACATATATATATATATATATATATATATATATATATATATATATATTCTTATGACATAAGATACTATTTTATTAGAAGATATATGTTTAACATTCAACTTTTAAATCCAACAAAATCAATACTTAAACACTTAACACTTAAATACAAAAAAACACTTGATAAAAATTAAATAAAATCATCCAGTCTCGAGGCAACAGCTTTATCATTCTTTACATTAAAATCAACAGCTTTTATCATTCTTTACATTAAAATGCTGCTCTTGATTATTTCTTTAAGTCACCCCGTATTCTGAGCTACTACTTGAGAAGGATGTTCTATTATTCTTTTTATAGCTGATATCATACGCTAAATGATTTAAACAATGAAAGTTATAAATTAATTAATAGATGATCGGATTAGAACATTCTGGGATTGTTCTCAAACCAACAAAGAAGTTCATGAAAATAAACTTATTGAGTCAATTAATCATTTCTGTACAGTTTATGTTCAGTATAACTATACTTAAGTTACACTTTAGCTACACTTAAGCTACATAACTAGCTACACTTAAACTAACAATTAAAAAATGGATGTATTTTTCTTTACTGAGTATATGATTTAAAACACTTGCACACAATATATAAGAAAATTGGGAAAAGGTTGGCGGAAAGGGGTTGATTTTGTGATAATAGATATGCACGCAGTGAGAGGAAAAGGTGACATCAAAAGCATACAGGTGTGTACAATAGAAAGGGGTTCCTTAATCAGTGGTTTTACTGCATACATACTTTATGTATGTCCCCCTAAAATTTCTCTGTGAAGTCTTTCAAGTTTTCTAAACTAGCTGACATCTGCAACCCACAATACAACGTCAAAACAAATGGAACGGTTTCACAAATATTGTCAATATGACACTTGATTGGCCAGAGAAACATATTTGCACTTTTACGGATTTATAGATTGGCAGTCTGTCAATGGTTAAAGACTAACTTCACAAAGTCTATAGTATTGCTTAGATCTCAAAATACTATCTTTATTATTTTTCGTACTATCTTTTATCAAAATGCCATCTTTTATCCTAATTTAGGTATACTCACCAACTAAACCAATAAAAAAGTAATATGATGCAACTAAATGCAGTTAAAGAAAAATGAAAAATAACATTCAAGTAAAAACAAAATAACTGCAAAGAAACATTAAAAGTAAAATATTCAATACAAATAGTTAAATTTTTAAATAAGTCTAACAAATGAAATATCTTGGAAGATTTACAAACCTAACATTATAGTAACATCTGAGTTTTAAGGCGTTTTCAACAACGTCATAACTTGTGCTGGAAGATCTACACAAAAGTGATTAAAATGTAGTTACTCTTGTTAGAATACTGAACATTTAACAGTCCACCAACTAGGTCTTCTCTAAATGTCAGCACAATATTTCCTTAAGTTTCACAATTACTGCTTTTACTATTGGTGGCAAGTTCTTAAACCTTTTCTGCTGCATTTACAAACTATCAGTCCTAATAACTCTTATTTATAGGATTCAAGTCCTATTATTATGGATTTTAGTCCAAATAAGGCCTTCTATTAAGTTCTATTAACTGTAATTTAAGCAACCCGAATTTTTAACTTCTGCATTTACAACATAATTGCAACGCGTATATATTAACTATGCTAATTTAAAAGTCTTTCTACAGGCATCGCTAATTCATTGGTGCTTTCCTTCTACTTTTGGAACTTCCTAAATGATTTTTGTTTCAAAATTTCACTGATTTAATTATTGTTATGAATACTTTGTAAAAAATTTGTTCAAATGAATATTTAAATACATTGATTGCCATAGGTATGTTAACTCTGAGAATATAAAAAGGAGAGATTCGTTCCAATTATACAAACTTATGAATGACATTGACAAAATAAATATTGGAACAAGTTTTTAACTTATTAAAACTATTTAAAAGGGTATTGCTTTAGGACTCTGGAGCTGCAATTATGTTATAGATGACTCTTAAAGCTGCAATTAATTCAAAAAAAAATGCTTTCTCTTAATAAAAGGGAGCATTTCCTTTTTAAAAAAATTTTAGATGCATGGAACACAGTTTCAACTGAAGATGTAACAGCTAAAAAAGCTTTCAATTAATAGTTGAGTAGCAATCAAACTTAACTGCTATAATACTATAACAAATCGAGTACAAAACAACACATTCACTGGGACCCAGTGAATGTGTTGTTTTGTACTCTATCTATTCTAGAAAAAATACTCTATCTTTTCTAGAATTATTTTAGTTTGTTTTGTTTTAGCTGTTTTAGTACTTATTTAAAAAAGGACATCTGTATTTAAGATTATAAATAACATTATTAACGATTACAAATAACATTGTTTCTGTTAATTGTAAAAAATCAAGCAGCATCACCTGCTTTCATTGACCAATATTTACAATTTCAAACTAAATAACATATTTAAAATACTAATATGAACGTGTTAATTAAGTACAAATTAGTAGTAATAATAGCTGTGCTAAACAGACCCAGTCTGGGTCTGCCTAAGACAGCGTAAACTACTAATTATTATGACATCAAAATAAAAATTTTCAAAAAATATTGACAAGATATATATA